ACACATATATATATATACACATATATATATATATATATATATATATATATATATATATATATATACATACAGTACCTTTTTATGATTTTATTTTTTATTATTACCTTTGTCTTCTCTCCAGAGTTTCCATCAGGATGGCAAAGAGTTTGCGCAGCAAGTGGAGGAGAAAGATGAGGGCGGAGAAAAGAAAGAAAGTTGCACCCAAAGAGCTGGCACGACTCAAAACAGTGCTGGGTCAGGGAGAGAAAGGAGAGATCACCATGAAAGATGTCGCTGAGATCGCCACCGTTGTGCCACCTGAGAAAGTGAAGAAGCCAGAAGATGCTGAGATGCAGAAAGAAGATGGTGAGCTTTCATAGAAACATTTAGCAATTCGGGTTTTCTCTTGTGTTTTACCATATTAAATGCAGATCTGTTGTTGCTTTGCAGCGGATGGTGGAAAGATGGATTTAGACACTAAACGCAATAAAAAGACAATGTTGGACGATCAAGGACGGTATCCGGTCTGGATGAACCAAAGGCAAGTGAAGAAGGTGAAAGCCAAACGTACGGCGAAAAAAGGAAAACCTAAGATTAAGAAGGGGCTCGCCTGGTAGATGAACTGATCTGCTTGTGCACGGACATTATTCCTGTCACAGCTGTACAGGAGCCTGGCTGTGCATCTTTTTCATTTACATTTTTTTATTTTACGTTTATGCAACCTTGAGCAGAAAAATACTTTAGAGTGTTTGCAATTGTGAAATGTAATGATCTGTTAATGGTTGTGGCTTCTCGTTGAGAATGAGCAATGTAATTGGGATTCAACATCATGATCAAGGCTTTTCACTAGTTCACTAGCTAATATGGAGGGGAGGGGGAGTGAGACACTGTAAGTCATCTGCATTCAGTGTATTACACAACTGACTCTTCCAATGAAATATAATTTTTTTTCCCTCTCTTCTGTTGGCCTGCTTTACTTTGTAGTTGTGAAGTATTAGGTATTTTCTTTGTTGGCAGATAATTATGGATGAGCTTTTTTTTTTCCACTTAATAAATCAAATATACCGTTCTGCGGGATTTAGTTTTATTTTGTGGTCAACAAAAATGCACAACATTAAGTCAGTAAAGAAACAAGCATAAGCCAGTGGCTTGTGTATCTCTATAAGGCAGCGTGGTATACTTTTACAATTAATCTGCACCAACCAAAAGTCTTTATAACTTATTTTAAACAGCAAACATTAGCAAATTTGTAAATCTTCATATTGCATGCATAAAGGTTTAGAAAGCTGGTAATTGTTTTAACATTACTCATTTAAAACTATTAACAGCATTTCACAATTACTTTTATATGATTCTCCATGTAATATTTATCTGAGAGATTAAATGGAATATTTGCACTTTTAAAAATCCGTTTTTCATACTGTAGGACTGGAAATCAACTAAACGTAACTAATAGTGACTAGTTAAACCTTTATTTAATGTTCTGTTATACACACTGTATCGTTCAAATGTCTGGGGCCAGTAATTAATTTTTAAATAAATGAATACTGTAATTTCAGAAAGGATGCATTAAATTGATCAGAAGTAACAGAAAAAAATGCATGTTACAAGATTTCCATTTCAAATAAATGCTGTTGCTTATGAATTCACTATTCATCAAGAAAAAATCCTTAAATATCAATCAGCACAACTCTTTTCAACATTGAGAATAATGTAAAATGCTTTTTGAGGACCGAATTAGCACATTAGAATGATTTCTAAAGGATCATGTGACACTGAATACTGGAATAATGATGCTGAAAATTCAGCTTTGCATCACAGGAATAAATTGCATATTTTAAATATATTGAAACAGAAAATTAAATTGTAATAATATTTCACAATAATAGTACTGTATTTTTGATCAAATAAATGCAGCCTTGGTGTGTAAAAGAGACTTTTTGCAAAAACATTGCAAAATCTTACAGACCCCAAAATTTTGAACGGTAGTGTATATGATCATACACATTTTTATCTAATATCTTTATGAAGAAAACAAAAATCAATGTCCATGTTAACTGGTTACTGACCATGTGCATTGAATGGACAGTTTTGCTCAGGTAACAGATCCAGGCTCATTAAAACAACTAAAAAGAACTCATTTTCAGCCAGATTCAAATGTTCATTCTGTACATGTTAGTATATTGCACATGTGTCATAAAAATGCAATAATAATAATAGTCTGCAAGTGGCTAATAAACACAAATTTGATCACTGATTATTAGCAACTAATTGAGCTCCACAAAAGTGGCAGGAAACAGGCCTGTGCGACCATGACACGTTCCTTTCCACCAACCCTCATCCACCATCTCAACGCTAGTGATGGTGTCACCTGGCATGAAGGAGATCTCGTCACTGGCCTCTGCAAAAGTATGATTGATATTCATAATACACAGCAGACTAAACAACAACAAAAAATTCAACGGAAATAAATTACGTAGCTCTGCAGAGTCAGGAAGCAATGTAATAAAATACAATGTCAATGAGGTATCAATCAGTTGCTATGGACTGTAAACGTACCTCCTTGGTAGTCATAAATGGCCGTGGCTGTGTTTCCTGCCCTACTTAGATCTTTATAATCATTATCATTATCAGCAGCTGTTGAAGAAGCCAAAAAAATAAATTAGGAATTACAGCTGTTAGCAATCATAAACATTTACAGCTGTTATAATTAGAACCATCTACTTTTTCTTAATGTGGCTTTGATTCCCACAGTGAACACATGTAGTAAATGTTTATGCATGTGTCAAACCTGCAGTAGCATATGAGCCAATATCCTCATAATCTTCTTCCTGAGGTACGGGGACACATTCATCGTAAGTTTGCTCCGGCTCCTCCTCCTCCTCCTCCTCCTCCTCCTCTTCAATCAGGTCAGCGGAGCGGGGCGGCAGTAATGGCGGCTCCTCATATTCAGGCTGCTCTTCTATCTGAAACACACACCGAGCAGATGAGGATCAATTCTTTCAGTGTATGTGCTTAGATAATACTGTTAAAAATACAGTTTTGGAAGTGAAAAAGAAAAAGTCATTGTATAATTTACAGTGAAAAAACGCAAATTGACACTCCCAGAATTCCCTGCTTGATACTTCACATTTGATGTTTTTTTGTTGTTGTTGTTTCTTCTTCATTTTTTTTCTTATCAGTTGTGTACATTATGGTTTTTATCTTGCATCTAATGTTGTTTAAAGGCACAATATGTAAGATTTTTTTATTCAAATATCCAAAAATCTAACTACGCCTTTGTTTCTTTGTTTATTTTGAATATGCGCCCTCTAGCGGCGAAAATTACATATTGTGCCTTTAATGAATGTTTATTGCAATATTTCAGTATCACGTGTGTTACCATGATGGTGTTTAGTATTTGTGTAAATGACACTGTGCACTTTCTATATATTAGTATTTATCTCCCCAGCTTGTTGAAAAGCTGTTTGTGATGAGCTCTGATTCATCTTGTGACTTTCTCATCTCCACTTGTTTTTGGTAGTTATCAGTGTATTACAATGTAACAAAACAGGTATCAGTACTTCAATTGGTTGATATAATAACATTACAACAATGTTTTTTTATTGTTAATTTAAGTGAAGTCTGTAAAACCTAAAATGTTGCTACCATATTTTTTTACAGTGAAGTTCTGGCAACCACAGCTGCTGGTATTTTAGCGTAAATGTCACCGATTATTGTTGCATAATAATAAGTTATGAGCAAAAAGAATAGTGATAGTTGTAATAATACTTGAGTTAAAGCGGTAATATTCTGCACTTGTACATTGAATTTGAATATGACAATTTTTTTTAATTTCTGTCGCCCTTAAGGTGCAGTCACATTAGAAAATTTCGAAAGCAAAAAGGTCCATTGTGTATTGTCAACAGTGTAGCAATGTATGAAGCACAGCTCGCATCAAAGTCGCTCTTAAACCAAGCAGATTTCTGTTGGTCAGTGTGTGCAATTTGTGTAACAAAATTGTTACCAAATCAGAATGGGGAAATCTTTCACCATCAGACAGAATTCCAAATCGTGTGGATTCATATTAAAATGGATTTCGCCCACAAAAATTTGACGAACAATGCTAAAAGTACTGCACCTTTAGAAATGAATACTGTACCTTTAAGACTTTAATATGTAAATGACCCGTTATGATTGGCTGGTCTGTTTGCATGTGAAATGAGTAATAACAGCCCCACCAAGTTACTGAATAAACATTTATGTATAAATTTGTGCATCAGTATGTTAAAGGGAAGGTTCACCCAAAAATAAAAATTAAGCCATTATTTACTCACCCTTGTGTTATTCTAATGCCATATGCCCTTCTTGCTTTTTTGGACCGCAAAAGGAGAAATTTAAAGAAATGTGCTGTTTGCGCTTGTCCATATAATGGCAGTGAATAGCGACCAGCATCATGTGGCGTTTTTATGAATCTCGATTTCTTACAACTTGTGTGATTTTTTTTCTGGGTGAGTCGGAGTGAACTGCTGCACTAATGAGAGTCTCAAGAACACGTAGCCGTGCACAGAAATCAACAGCCAAGGTCAGGATTTTCGTTAAATAATACATTAAATTTCGGTTTGTTTTTCACTAAACCCTATCGTATACCCTCTGAACACTTGCAGCATATGACATGTCGCATGGGACCATTCTGTGATAATTTTGTGTCTTTTTTTTAAAGCCTGATGCTGGTCACTATTCACTATATTCACCTCATGGACAAGAGCGAGCAGAACGTTTCTTTAAATTTCTCTTTTTTCTTTGGTCTGAAAAAGCAAGAAGTGCATACAGCATTAGAATAACACAAGAATGAGTAAATGATGACTTAATTTTCATTTTTGGGTGAATTATCCCTTTAAATTGCTCATGGTTGTGATGTCACAATGTGTTCCATATATGGTCTGCGGAGGAGTTTTGCATTGTAAACACATTAGGGTATGTTCACAATAGGGGCAGTTATGGCCTAATGGTTAAGGAGTCACACTTGTAACCCTAAGCCCCAATTGCTCCCCGGACACCACAGCAAAAAAGGCTGCTCACTGCTCTGGGTGTCTTCAAAAGAGCAGTGAAAATATAACAAAAAGAGTCTTGCCTGAGCTTCTTCCTCTGGTTCATCTCTGGGAATTTCAGGCAGTTTTCTGAATGTCTCTGGGGGATTGTGGGATGCTGGCACAGGTGGAGGTCTCTGGTTCTCTTCCTCCTCTTCACACTTGCTCTGCTCCTTAAGAGAGATGATGACCAGCATTACAAAGTGTTCATTAGTGTGTGAAAAAGAAAAGGCTGCTGTGTGTGGTTGGGCTATCTATTGTTGTCATATGTTTCTATTAAAAGTGCAGCAAGCATGTCTATATATACAGTGGTGTGAAAAAGTGTTGGCCCCCTTCCTGATTTCTTATTTTTTTGCATGTTTGTCACACTTTTATGTTTCAGATCATCAAACAAATGTATATATATATATATATATATATATATATATATATATATATATATATGTATATGTATGGGTATTAAGACAAATGTGAACCTCCTGTTTTCGTTGTGCCTCTTCCCGTTCTCTCTTCTCTCGAGCAAGTCTTCTGGCTCTCTCCTCATCTGCTCTCTTTCTATTCTCCTCATCTGAGGCCTTCGCCATGTTCTCAAATCGAGCCTTAAGGTTTCCAGCTCCTACACTTGCTATAAACACCAGGAAGAGATAAGCAAGAAACTACTGAGTCCCTGAAAAGTATATAGACCCTTAATCAACACATTTAAAATGTATGAATGCCACTGCATTACTACTCAAAAGCAACACTTCAAATGTAATATTTCCATAGACTTGTACAGCAAACACTCACAGGCCTCGAAAGCCTGAGGCTTCTCATAAGATGATGATGGTGACTCCATATCACTGAATGAAGCTGCACTCTGTGGAAAAAAATAACTCCATGTACATTCA